CCGCTCGGTGCCCCGGGCTGCCCCGCGCTGTCGCGGCACGGGCGGCCTCCGGCGGGGCCTCCACCTTTGCCCCTGCCTTTGTGCTCGGCATTGCTTGGTTTGCCTTTTCCAACACGCCTCGAGGGCAGGAGGCTGTTTTAAGGACGGAAGAGCTGAAATGACGTGAAAGAAGTAAGTGCAAAGCTTTGCGGTTGGTATTTCCGTTTGCTGTGTTTCCTCTAAGACAGCACTTACCCTGTTCTGATTTGACGTATAAACAGGATAGACGTGGATAATGTTTTCTGCCTGACAACTGATGTCAGAAGAAACGCCTGGATTAATGCTTGAGGCAGAAGAGCAGCTGTGGTGCCCCGGGCTGCAGATGCGGCCGAGGCAGTCTCTGCCTCCGTGTGCTTTAGTCAAAGACGTGCCCTTCACTTCAGGTGTAGGTAACACGGGGTTCTTTTGCAATCTAGAGTAAAAGGTGTGTATTTGCAAAACAGTTAGTTTATGGGCAAAAGTATAGTGGAAGCAAGCTTATTTTTTTACTTTGTGTACGTAGGCATTGTGCCCAGTCACTGCTGAACAGCAAATGCAGTGTGTTTGATGGCAAAAAGAAAATAAAAGTGGGTTTTTTCCCCATTGTGCTGTATAGCTAGAAGAAACACCGTAGTTGTCTTGAATTGTCTGTTTTGCAAGAGAAAGTGGGCACTGAAGAGAGAAGCAGGGAATGGAGGGGGCTGTTACAGATGCAGGTCCCCAAGGCTGGAGCTCCCCCAGCCCCTTAGCAAGCGCTCAGTTTTCTTCTCATCGTGTTTTTCCGTCTGGATTAATGGCTTATGGCACCTTCTCGCCATGCTCTAGTGCTCTGAACTGGAAGCTGGTTCACAAGCAGTCCAGATCTGCATTTTCGAGTTGTTCAGCTCGAAAGCAGGACCTGGAATATCCTGTAATGAGTTGAGCCATAAAAGGTCATTCTGATGGACCAGTTAATGTAACCAATTATGATTTTGATAAATCCAGTGATCCAAAACCAGCAGCTTTCTCACAGCTCTTGCACCTGAGGAAGGGTGATCCAAAACCAGCAGCTTCGATCCTCTCACAGCTCTTGCACCTGAGGAAGGACATAAGCTGCCCACGGCTGATGGGACAGAACTTACAGTCTGAAGCCATGTGTTCTATTTACAGACTCCTGGGCCCAAAGCTGGGAGGCTGAAATACAGTTCTTGATCTGTGGGTTTTATTTCTTCAGTGCTCTTTTCAGTTGATTTTAAGGTCAGCATAATTACACTTCCTACTGCAGAGGTTTGTAACGTGAGCTTGTGGTCTGCCAGTTTACCACGGAGACTGGGAATTTTTAACCTGGGCATTTTTGTTGTTCCCAAGAAAGATGAATTGAAATCAGAAGGTGGTGCCTGGTGACCAGTTTCACATTTCGTGATCAAGAACCTGTATTACAAACAAAGAAAACCTTTTAGTGCACTTGCTTTATGCAGCTATTTGCCAAACTTTTCAGTTATGTGGATGTAGGGCCTTGTGGGATGAGATGTGTGGACAAGACAATGTTACTTTGCAATTTCTTAATTCAATTTATGACATCAATTTACAGATTCAAAGTCAGCTTACAGAAAGAATAATTTACAAACTCAATCCATCTTTCTACTGTCCAGAAATCATTGCAAGCCCTGGGCAGGCAGAGTAGTAAAGTGCCAGGACAGACTGACCTTAGGAAGCGCAGAGCCATCGGAGTTTGTCTGCCTGAATTCCCGTGAGGCTGGGTTCACAGGGACTTGTGAGCTGGGCTTCAGCACAGTGCCCAGTCAGAGCTCTGCCATCTGCTGCACACTGGGGGAGCATGTGACAGAGACCTGCTTCTCTTACCTCCTGCCTTCTTGGGAGCTGCCCCACTGCCCCATCTGGAGGCGCTTTTATTAAGTCTGAGCTACTAAGCAAGCTGGATGTGGTGGCTTTTGCCTGTAGCCGTTCGAATGCCCCTGCTGCGTGTGCTGGCACGGGGCTCCCGGGCATCCAGCGAGCGGCCGAGCCAGACCTGCTCGCGTGGCTGGAGAAGGAACCAAAGGGGACTTGTACAATGCCGAGTCTCACCATAGCGGGGTAGGGTATGACACCCCTGCGTGACCAATAGCAGATCTTGCCTCAACCTTGCTTCATTTCCCTCTTTCCTCCCGGAGGAACTGTGGTGTGGCACGGTGCGTCTGACGGATGTACTCTCTGTATGCGTATATGTGTACCCCTTGGTCCACTGACGGGTTTTGTTCTGGTTTTACACCTCTTGTTTACAGCTACACTCGGAGCTGTGTTTGGCTTAAGCACCTGCCTGAGTGCCCAAATCCGAGAGGAACCAGAGGATCCCTTGAACTATTTCCTAGGAGGTTGTGCAACAGGAGCTGTCTTGGGTGCAAGAGGTAAATGTGGGTAATGCCTGTAATTAAATGAGCCCTCTCTGGTTTTAGGAGCCTTTCTGTTAGGGAAAACTAATGTTGATGTCCAGTATATTTGGTAAAGATTCATCTTAGCATGTGTATTCCGTTTCATACCAGTTTCGTTGACGCTCCGTTGTCTAGGCCTGCTAAATACTGGAGACCAGAGATGCCATCAAGGTCATTCACAGAATGAAAACAGCTGACCCAGGGCTGCCATTTGGATCAGTTATAACTTGAAATTTTAGGGTGTGAAAACCATAATTGTGGAAATCCATGTTTTCTTAGCTACTACCCGGAATGTATAATCTACGTCTGCCGTGTGAACGTGTCGTGCAGTCTGAGGGACAAGCTGTGTCTTGCAGCTGTTGCTCCTGTGGCATCTTGTCTAAGAGTAGCTTCTGCAGGTGTTTATACAGCTGTTTGCTGTGGATGTTTTCAGGCTCTGTTAAAGAGGTGAGGGATTTATTTAGGTTGTAATTGTGGTGAAATAGAATTTATCTTTACTTTTCCTGGTTGCTGAGCTGATGAAGGGGTGAAGCAGTGATTGCTGATTTCAGTGACAAAACGAACAGTGTAAGGAGGTGGTCATAGAAACTGGTATTTCAGACTGTGAGCTGAAAGCGTGAGAAAATTAAAAACCAGTGTCACTTCTCTGATTTCTACTGGCAAACAGCGTTACTGATGGCCAAGGGGCTGTGAGTAGCTCATGGAGGAATCGCCAAGTCTGTTGAGACCTAACGCGTAGTACTTGTGCCCTAACAGATCTTGTATGGTTTGTTTTTTCCAGCTCACAGTTATATGACTGGCACCACTGCATGTTTGGGGTTCGGAATTACTGCTGCGCTGATGAAGATAGGCAACAAGGAGGGCTGGAGGCTGATGGGACCTCCCAAGCTGTAACCAACCTCTCCTCCTTGCCGTCAGCCTTTTCAATGCTCTCTGTAATAAGACGTTGTGTAATAAAGGTACTGGCAGGTCAGCAGTTGTCCCGTAATTTTGATGTCACTTGGCTGTTTACGCTGTTGGGGCTGGGTTGACCCTGGTCAGGTGCCCACCAAAGCCACTCTATCGCTCCCCTCCTCAGCTGGGCAGGGGAGAGACAATAAAAAGCTCACGCCAAGGACAAGGGGAGATCGTTCGGCACTTACTGTTACGGGCAACACAGACTTGACTTGGGCAGAATTAATTTCATTTCTTGCCAAACAAATTGGAGTTGAAGAGAACTAAAACCAAATCATAAAACCCCTTCCCCACACCCCTCCCTTCTTCCTGGGTTCAGCTTTGCACCCTGTGTCTCTACTTCCTCCCCACAGGAGGATGGGGAATGGGGGTTGTGGTCAGTCCATCACACG